GCGTATTTAAATTATAAAATATCTTTGCCTATATAAGGTTATAATATAAATATTATATTATATTATATATTATAATCCACACACAAGAAATATAAGATTATTTAATTTAAAATTATGTAAGATTGTAAAAAGTATTTAGTATAAATGATTTTTTACAACGTGTAGTTATGAAGAAAATGTTTGTGGATTCGAAAATACCGATAACGAATAATAACAACTTAAAAATAATGATTTCAATGATATTCTGAAGATAAGATAACGTAAGCTTCCAGAGAAGATTCTGCGAAAAATGTCAACTTTTTACGTTCAAATATACGACACACCTCAGAAATAGAAGTAGAGATACGCTTGGCGCAAAGCACGTGCCATTCTTATCTGTCCTTGTAATATTCACTCTACTGGTTTATTATTACTCTCACTTGTGCAGTTTGGGAGCTGCTGCTTTAAATGCAACTAGACGACGCATTTTAAGCACTCGTCGTTTAGCGCTTCTCTCTTTACACGAGGCTGTAACTTAAAAATTCTCGCAGCCGCACAGCTGGGTGAGATATCGAGTTCCTCTCGGCCGAGATCCCGGGCTTTTTCTCGTTGTGCGCACTTACAGATATACGATTTCTTCAGATAGGATTGTTCTCACCTTTCCAACCATTTCTCTAATTTGTTCGCGTATACATATATACCTTCGCAAAAATATCTGCTAGCGAAGAGATTAATCTGTACACGTACCAATGAATCTTTTGATAGATAAAATATTCGCGCGTTCACCTCTCACATTCTCTCCTACAGATATCATATAAAATTTATTTTGTTATATAAATAAACGATCATTCCACGAAATTGGCATTTCTCTCAAAAGATAATCTCGAGAAATCGAACTAATAATTTATCGATTACTATTAATATTTTAGCTTAATTTTAACGCTTTTATACAAACTTATACTTTACGATTAGAGACGAATCTAAATATAATATGCAATACATGTATGTCAAAAGAGAAAAATATATGTTTAGACTTACTTACTTCGATCAAAGCAAAACACAGAATCACTTTTAAAAAAATTTAAATCATCCTGACGTAACGGAGATTTCATCCGTGCTGCCTGAATAACAACTTACTTCGAGGGATGATGAGGAAGACAGACCGAACGGTGCCTTGTTTGCACTTGATAAACGAGCGACGTTTTCTTCCGCGGTGTATCGACGATGTTTGCTCGTCGTTTAATGCCGACGACAACCTGACTTAAATATTTAGCACGTACAAGATGAACAACAAGACTGCTTGCCATGTCCAAGCTTTCGTCCCTCTCTCCTTGTCTCCTCATAAAACTTGTAGCGACGCAAGTTCTTCGTTTAATATAAAAGAAAAAAAAAATGTAGACGCCAAGTAGATCAGCATACATTCTAAATTTGGATCGACATGATCTATATTTATGCGTCCTTATTTTATCCTTATTTTGTAGTTACTTAATTTTATTATTTTGGATTTGCTTTTGCATAATTCTATTATATGGATTTGTTATTTTATAACATCCAATAAAATGGCATAAATGTACAGGTAATGTAACATATATTTCTCATTTTACGCATTATATTTTGTAATACGTATATAACTCGTAATTACGTTACGTACAAAAAAATAAGATATACAGAAGAGTATTTTCTCACATCATATCTCGTTAACTTCCGCTCGCCTTTCGAGGTGGAATTGCAATTCTCAAAGTGCGCAACGAAGCAGCAATTCTCTACGTTTCTTCTCTCGCAAGAAGACCGACGAATGATAGAAAGGGAGCGGCCGGTCAGCTTCGTCGTTCTAATCATTCTTCAATCAATAGATCAAGCTTTAATTGCTTCACCAGGAGACCGTTATAGGATTCCAGCCGCGCGAAAAGAGATAGGGGAGCGATCTCTCCAGGAAGGAAAGTCACATTGTGCCACGAGATTCGTATCGAGATTTCCCTTCCACCCCGTGCATGAGTCGACCAATCATCGATGTATCGCGCAAATTGTCTGTAATCTTACTAGTGCGTACTTTTCTGGAAATAACACGCCGAGAGTATCACACATCCGTTGAGCTCGCACCCAGCCGCATCGACCTGCACGGTTTTTATTCGCAATATGGTGCGCCGCCTTTTAAAGAAATAAGTCATCGTGACCGATAGTTATTGCTCGATAGTGCAAGCATTAAATATAATCAGGACTTAATCATATACTAAGGGGATATGAGGAAAGCACATACGATTTAACTTGTTCTAATTGTAAGTAAACCAAAACGTACGTAACTGACGATACGTTCGAAACAAGTTTGTAACTGATCCATATTACCTTCTTGCTAGATATCGCTACATAAACTTGTTTTATTACCGGAATATGCAACAAAAACTGCAAAAATAATTAATGGATAATTAGTGGATGCAAAAGGAGAAAGATTCGATCAGTCATTAATTCTACACTCTGATGCGAATGTGATTAACTCATTTAGAATTAATTATAAAAATCGGTCCCCTTTTGATTGCAGTCGTTCGTGAAATAAGTTCATAGTGAAACAAAATAGACAAGTATTCGAGAAATAACAAGGTTCGAATCCTGACTGAGATAATATTTTTTACAATAATTAAGTTATTTACGGTGATTTAAAGATGCTCAGATTAGTATCAGTAATATTAATAAATTAAATTGCTTGTCGATTTAATTTGTGATATTATATATTCCAGCTTCATTCTAGAAACTGTGATTGGAGACGATAAATAATCGTCGCGGAGTTTGCTTGAACTGGAGAAATTGTAAAAATACAAAAATATTCCAAGGTATAGTAAGCTGATGTAATTTATAGTCATTTTGACGTAAAAATAATATATTAAAAATAGGGTCATATTCGGTATGACAGGTTTTACTATACGATTAATAACCTATTTGACGTAAAAATGACATCTTTAATCATAGTAAAACCCGTCATACCGCGAATATGGCCCTTTTGACTTATTATTATTTGAGTTGAACATTTCTCGGACTATTTTCACTAAATAAAGATTATATAAATATTTCTAAATATTACTATTTATCTGGAATAGTTTGTTGGAATAATATTTAAATTCTTCCTCTGAAAGTAGCGTTCTTTTCATTCCACTTCGTTCCAATTCACTACATTCGAATAATTGTAGTCGTATAACTTCGACAATGTTGATCACTATAATAAATAATCGCCGTGAGATATCGCAATATCTCCAAACTTTCATAAGGTATAAACGACGCTGTGCCTGAAGCAATCGAGGATTTTATAAATATATAATCGAGTTTCGCGGTCGTGTCGGGTCGCGATTTTCGATATAGGTATACCCAGCCATCCCGCGATGTTGTTAAAGGGAAGAGCCGGGACTCGTTCAAGGCGAGCTACATGCCACTGCAATTAACGGCCCGATATTTCATCTGGAAAACAAGGCGAAACAGCCAATATTATTGCATCATGAGCTTGACGTGGCAGCTGTAAGAATACATTAAATCTCGGAAAGTGGTGCAAGCGAGTACGAGCGCGCGAATTGCTCTCCTGGATATAACGGTGCGGCCGTCAACGACGCCACATAATTGTACGAATTCCGCAAAATTGCGACGATAAATAATAAGAATATTACTTGTCACGCAGTAACGGCGTTTAAATGATTTTCTGTCGCCACAAATTAATAGACAATACCTATCATCCAGACGCACCGCTTTTTGCGTCTGTCAGCGCATCTTGCTGCGTTTATCATCGCGCTCAAGACTTTTGCATCAATTCCCTCGTTTTCTTTCTGGAAAAGCTTTTGTAGCATGCATCACACAATGCTCTCGACTTATAAATAATAGCGGGCAGAGCAACACGATTATTTACTCTCAGATAACCAAATATTTGATTGTTGAGAGTAAATAATCGCGTTGCTCTGCTCGCTATATATTATATGCACTATAAAACGAAAAACAACGTACACATGTACGTAGAAGAGAAGAATGCTGAATACCAGGGATTACTCAAGAACATGCAACTATATCTATTTACGTTATTGCGTAATGCGTGCGCGGAGGTAATTAACGAAGCAATTAATCGGCGCGCAACAAGACGCCGCGCCGGCTCTTTAAACGCCGCAAATCCATCTCGGGGAATTAACACGCGGAAAAAAAGCTGGCACCAACCGAACAACTTCATTCGATATATCCCTCGCGTATAATGTTACGTCGCTGGGGCGTTATTCCGTTCCATTGCAAAAAAACCAGGCATATTCCGTTACGCGATATCGCGCATTGTGTGAAACATGGTATATAGACAATCTTTTGATTTGGTGATCAGTCTGAAAAGCAATAGAATATACTATCTCAGTCGAAGTATCGAGAAACAATTTTATTAAGTTTCATTGAGTTCGTGTTACCTTGAGAATTCTCTCTGTCTTTTAAAATTTTTTTAATCTATACTAAGTTATGAGATTAAAAAAAAAGAAAGTTATGATGTTTCAGGCATAAAAAAGAAGAAGTACTCACACATTAATCCTTTTTTTTTACACATGTAATATTAATAAAGTATATAAAACATAAAAATTAATAAATTGACTCGGTTGAATAAATCCTAGTAAATGATGAATGCCTTATCGAGTCAGTATACACTGGTTGTTGGTGTGTGGTTAAATTGAAATGTTATTATCTTTAAATAGGAACAACGTTTCGATCCAAGATTCGGATCCTTTTCAAGTCTCAATTAGTATATATAAATTGACGTCGTTATCATTGTGCTTGAATATTGTATAGAAAACTATACAATTCAATATGATGTTACAACTATTAATATTTTAAATACAATTAATTACAATAATACAATTAAATTACTTACATGCAACAATCATAAAAGATATATATTACAAGTTGTCATGTCAAATGTATAACTACTTCTGTTACAAAATTATTACATCTGATTAATAAAAAATATTTAATAAAATTCCATAATTGTGAAAGAATTAACTTCAAGACATTAAATTAACAGACAGCATGGTGAAAGACAGTATATTGCATATTAATAAATAGCGCAGTTTTAAAGTCATAAAAATTTAAGCGTTTCTTCCTCGTACGTTAAAAAAAATAATTTATAGCACAACTATTTAAATTTCCAATTTTTTATTTTAATTTAAAAATTATACCATTACGCACGCGCGTTACGTAATGATATAATTAACCTTTCGTTGTAATTAATTTTCAGTTAGATTTATATGGAACCGACTATGAAACAGATACTTGAACATGAGGATACGATGATACAAGAAAGTACTGCACGTTCTTGGTACCGAAAATCACATAATCATTATGAGCCGGGAGAACAAATTACAAGAGAGTATAATGCATTATATCCTGATAAGATGTCAATAAGACTATAGTTGGCCAAGCAAATAGAGACTGAACAGATTAAGCTGTCATTATACTATATAATCGGAATTTTTTTACAGTTATAAAAAGTCCTTTGATAAATGTGTCAGATTTGGCAAACCACCAAAGAGTCAGGAATCGAAGTCTCGAATTAAAAAAATTTTGACGTGGATTAATCACGAACCGGTTACTTTAGTCAATAGTCAACAAGCAGAATTCTTACAACGTACTAGATCCTTTGTCGGACAAGTCAAGTAATATCAGTTGAACCAGCAATTGATAGTCTTGTAATAACTGTACAATTTATAGTACCAAATGACAAGAGAAAGATGGCAAAAAATCTCTTATGTAATAAATTATTTTCGTGAATATATAGATAGATACAAATGTGTTAATTGTTATAAAGTTTAAATACAATAGTTTTAATTTTTATTATTTTTTATAATTATATGTTACTTTTCTGTTATTACTATGATTATATTTATATTAGCTTTTATTTTTAACACATAGATTTTATTTACATAAATTTTGTCAGTCTGTAAAATGATGTAACTTAAACTTATTAAACTTTAAATAATTTTAATAAACTGTATCAATACAGAATGTAATTTCTTCTTCTTTTTTTATACATAACGGACAGATATTAATTAATTAACAGTAAAAATGACAGTTTCCTTATTGTGGAGAATAACTACTAATTTATAATTCAAGAGATCCAGAAACGTCGCATCTTTATGTAGATATCATTCACGGTAGGAAGAATGTCAAAGATGAATTAAATGTATCTGACATTTTACGTGGTTTCGATTTGAATGAGACAGTGCTTTTCTGGTGGCAATGTCTACAAGATTTAAATGATTTCCGTCGAAAACTCAAAAAGCGTGAAGTGCCATTCTTAGACATAGAGGATGAATTTTCTTGTTTGGACAAAGTACATATATCTATATCAAAGTATACATATTTATTAATATATCTAAATATATGATATGTACATATACCCTATATGTACGGTTATTAACTATTTTTATAACAAAAATTCATATTAATTTATTATAAATTTATATTTAAATATAATGAGATACTAGTTAATCAAATTAACAAAATTATACAATCACATTTCATTATAAATCATATTTTTATAATTATGAAATGGTTATAAAATTTTAATGCAGGAATGTGTCGGAACTCTACCTGAAGATAGAGTTTTTCTGATTTTCGAGAAGTATCGCATATACCCAAACAAGAAGTTCCTTATACCATTAATGGACACGTTACAGTTACGCACAGATGGAAATGTTAATTATAAAGAAATGCTGAATCTCTTGAATTGGAAGCGCAGTTTACCTATTCTACCAACAATTAAACGTAATTAACCAATAATCTTTGTAATATTCTAATTCTCAAAATTGAACTAGAGAAATCACAAATGACACATCTTCGTATGATAATTATAATAATTAATTTTAATATAATATAATTTCAAACGCATTCCAGTTTTAATTGTAATTTTAATTTAATGGTAACACAGAAATGATATTAAAGAATATTATTTTAGAAGCACCAGTGGCGAGTCCATATTGTACTACGTATAATGACAGCATAAAAAATATTCAGACAACTGATAGCGCAAGTAGGATTTACTTTTTATATCTTTCGATCTTAAAAATATTTCTTTTCAAATATTGGAAATATGAATTATAAGAAATTATATTATATTGTAGAAGTACGTACGGCAGGACTTCCATCTGAAAGATCAGATTTTCTGAGAACAATGTTACCGCGCGCCGGATTACACCCAGACAAGGAAAACTTAAGTGATCAAACCTCCGTTCATTGCTTAATATCGCCTAGCATATTTACGAGATACGGGTTGACACATATAGATTTTTTCAAGGTAAATCCTTTGATCTCGCATTTAGTTAATCCATTGTTTAAATATTTTTACTCTTAATTCAGTATGATTTATACCAAGTTATAAAATCTGAAGATTTTGTCATTCATCAAAATTCCTAGCAATATAAATATTAATTTATACTATTTTATCTATATTATTCCATCATATTATTATACACTATTTATATTGTAAAAACATTAACTTATATTTGCAAATCTGTTGTATAGATACGCGACAAAGAAGAAATACGAAGCATATTTGAGAACGTCGGTTTCGAATTTTCAGAAGAGAGCTTCGATACGCTTTGGCAAGAAGGAATGCAGAAGGATTGCACCGGCGGTGTTTGCGTTGAAACATTTCGTAAGTTACTCGCCATGTCAGGTTTCATGGCGAAGAAAATTACATGTGAAAATTAAATGCATCCAAGTTTTTCATCTTGAAAAATCTTAAAGAAGCTTGTAAAAGAAAATATAAATTATGTATTTTAAGTGTAATAACTATTAACTATTATCTACTAAAAAAATAATATTTAGTTAATATATTTAACTGATCTTCAACGATTATATTAAAATAATATAATAATCAGTTCAAGCATTATCAGATAAAAATTTATGCGTGCATCAAATATACAAACTGTATGTACAATATATTAACTTAATATAAATATATGTGCATAATTATTATGCAATTATTTACAATGCAAATTTATTCTGTAGGTTTCAAAAATTTTGGTTTTTTAGTTAATGGTTCGTCTTCATCGTTTGTTTTTATATGTTGCGACTTTCTATGCCTGTTTTTTACAGTATCAAACTTCGCTCGCATTTTCGTCCATTGAACAGCCATTTGTTCATCAGATATATCAGTCTCTTGTTTCAAATCTTCATTGGCTCGTTTAGCATTCTCCTTTGCTTCCATTATCTTTTCTATATTTGGATTCATGCCACGAAAACTTAATCTACCATCACCAAGTTGTTCACAGAAAATATAGCTCGGTTCCAAAAGAAATGTTCCACTTAAACATAAAATAGAAGCAACAAAATATCACAATCTTAATAAATATATTTTAAGATGCAAAATATCCAAAAACTTATATTATTTTAATTTACATAATTATTAATCCAGGTATAAGGCTATCTAGAAAATATAACAGAAGGTACTCACGATGCTTTTTTCATGCGTGATGTAAGCTCGCTGCCGAAGTATTCCTCTCCTTCTTCTTGAAACTGCTCTTTTTCCACTTTGTCTTTTGTCCGTTTCATGAACTGCAAGCAATTATCATGCAACAACCCAACGAACACGCTATTTGTTGTCATTTTGACAAAATAACATTAGCTTATTTGCTGTAAATACTTTATTTTCTACAAACTTTTCCAACCTACCTTCATTTCCAATATACTTTTTGACAGAGCTATTTTCTTTGAATTCATGTTTAACGATAATACCAAGAACCCGAAAAAAAAAAAAAATAATAGCTCTCAAAAAATAGTCAAATTCCTGACAATTCTTCTCAAAGAATAATCAAAATCTTGTAGAAGTTTTTTAAGAGATCATATACACGTGTCACAAATACCACAGCCTATAAACTGCTGTAACCACTGTAAACAAGCCGTAACCTAACTTTTCCAATTGCAGTAGGTAGGCCCCAGTAGCGCCTTTAACGGTAACTTGTATCACTAATGTCAACAGTGGTCAACAGCTTTGAAGAGGCTCTATATTATCAACCTCTCTTGTTATCACAATTGCCGTGTCGATCGACACGGCATATTATTTTCTTTACCGACGGGTAGATATATCGACTGCGCCCGGCTTTCCGAATTGCTCCGACCTGCCGCGTAACGGTGATTTTTGCTGGCTGGTTGGCAGGAGGATCAACGGACGGACTGGCGTGCTTTCTAAACGACTCTTTCCACGATTTTCGTCCATGAAATCGCGAAAGATGCAGAGGTCCGCGACGACCGATTCGACTCACGAGGCACAGTTTGTCGGAGAATGACGTCGTAGCAGCGAGGTCGTGGAAGCGAGGCACGTAAAATCGTGTAAGGCGGACGTAGCAACAGAGTAGCGGAAGCAGTTTAATTGCTCGTACCAAGGTATACCCGCGCCCACAAGCCAGCTCGCGCGCGCGAAATCAATAATAACGGCATTACGCTTGTTTAAATTCTTCAGAGCTTCGAAAATTGAAAAGGTTTAGTAACGTCTATGGTAGAGCCCCTGTGCTTCTCAGCACGATCTCAAATTCCAATCTGATTATACGTCGTTTCCACTTCAATTTACTTACAATTTTACACTGGCTACATACATTGTAGGCATGAAAAAACGAGACGACATCTTAGGAATCATCGACTCTTTGATATAAGATTGTTTTTATATCTTGTTTTTATACGCATATACTTCTCAAATCGTTCTTGTCACATGTTGACAAGATTAGACATTAATGTTTTTATTACTGATGACTCACCTGCAACGTTTATGTAGATTTCCTCGTTCTAGACATAACCTCGTAGAAGTCTTGTCCTTTTTTGAATTTATTATTGTACTATATTTACATTGAGATCTGGAGTAAATATACCACTTTTTTAATTTGATGTAAATATGATGTACAACATCACATGTAGGAATTAGCTCCATTCCAAACCAGTATTGTAACTTTTTATAATTTATATGGTATTCTATGCACCAGGAAACACATTAAGCAGCATAAACTTAATAAAAATATTTCAATGTTCTAAGTAAATTACTTATTATTTTATTACTATTTATATTTGACAGACACAGCACTGCGTACAAAGATGTCGAAACGACCCCCAGATAATGGGGACTCCAGTTCCCAACCACCTATAAAAAAGGTGCAATTTGAACCAATTCTAATTGGACCTATATCTACTCTCGAAGAGATGGATATGAAAGTTTTACAGTTTCAAAACAAAAAACTAGCACAGGTACATAAAGTTTACATTGCATTTATACTTTTATTACTTTTAATTAGTTGATATATATAATTGTAGATAAAGGTAAGAGTTAAGTTGTAATAACGTGATGTACATAATTGTATATAAAAGAAATAACTCAAATAAGAATATAGTTACACAATTCTATACTGTTAAATAATTTTATTAAAATTGTATTAATTATATATAAAAATATAATTTATACAAGATGACATTTGCTATTAGGAGTATGTAGAAAGTTGTTGAAACCAAAATGATATTATTTTTTATTGAGAATAGATAAAACATTAAATTTTTTTAAGAATAATATTTAATTTTTATTATTTTAATATTAATATTATTTTATTACAAAATAAATGATTTAGATTTTAGTTTTTCAATTGTCATCCTATACATATATACATATAATTTAAGATTTTAAAGTATGTTATAATTTGATATAAATTATACTTTTATATATAAATTATATGTAAATTGTTTACAATATTATATAACTTTTAGTATGCACTCTTTTTTATGTATAATTCATTTATTTTAGAGATTAGAGCAAAGGCATAGGATGGAAGCTGAATTGAGACAACGTATTGAACAATTAGAGAAACGTCAAATGCAGGATGATGCAGTACTTAATGTAGTTAATCGATATTGGAATCAACTCAATGAAGATATACGTGTATTATTACAAAGATTTGATGCCGAAACTGCCGATGAATCAGAAAATAAAAGTAAGCTTTACAAAAAAGTGTAAAATAAAAGTAAAAGTTCAACAATATTTTCTGCTATAAATTAAAAATAAAATTTTTTTGTTTTTAATTACAGATGAGAGCGAAGCTACGACATCATTTCTAATGCAATTATCTTCCTGGGATAAAGAGGAATTGGATGATAAATTAGCGAACCGTGTACAGGTATCAAAACGAGCTGTGTCTAAAGTTGTACAGGCATTTGATCGTTTATCTCAAAGAAATGAGAAAATCACTCTTGCGCTCAAAGGAGAATTTGATGGTGGTAAGTTACATCCAGAATTTTTATTAGATTCCAAATTAATGTAATATACTCGAATAAATTGACATATATATCTCGTTTTTATTTGCAATAAAACTCAAATTTTTCCACAAAATCTCTAAAGAACTTAATGGACGTATATGTAACTCAAAATTGTATAAACTCAAAAGACATATATATATATATATATATATAGCAAAAAATCACACATTTTTATAATAATTGAAGTGATTATAAATGATTGTGTATTATGCAGAAGAGACGCCGAACATTGACGAAGTCGTACGTCGTGCCAATGCGGAAATACAAATGGAAAACAGAAATTTGCAGGCAACAAATATACAACTGCACGAAAAGTACCACACTATCTCATTGAAGGTAATTGATTTTTTGTTTTATTTATAATTTTTTACATTTTATATTGATTATATACGTAGAGCTATTATTTGTCAATAAATAAATTAAAAGTTAGTCGAAATGAAGAAAAGGGAAATTATTATGAATATTTTTTAAATATTATTAAAAAATTATCATTAGGTACATAAAATTATATCCTAGCAGGGTGTTTACTATCTAAGAAAATTACCTCGAATTTTTATTGAATTTATTGATACTGACGGATATTTTTGGAATTTACTTATTCTATCTCTTTCTAATAATATTGTTTCTTTAATCATCGTACTTGGTAATGCATAATGTTGGTAATTGAGTTCAGCAATATATATTGCATATACATCTATGTATATTCATATATGTTTTTATATGTGTGTCTCACGAATTTTGATTTAAAAAATCAGGTAACAGTAAAAGATACTTAGCAGAAGAGAGTAGCTTACTAATATTATAGTGATTCTTTTCTGTACTATCCTATAAGTTTTACACAACTCTAAATAGAAAATGATAGATATAGTCTCGTGAAATCCTGCTTTTCTACTAATTTACAATAGTTTGTTTGTTACTAGCACTTCAATTTATTTCAGAGTTGCATTTAAAAATTATCTTCTTTTAATTTAGAATATTGAACAAAATACCTAGAAAATCCAGGAATATTCAGGGAATTTTACAAGCTTTCAGTAAACACCTTACCTGGAATGCCGCATGACTTCATGCGAGAGTCAGATTTATAATTAGCTCCGGTTTGATTCTCTTCTACAAATGTTTATTGAAAAATTCTAAAATAGGACATTTTTTATTCTTTTTACAATTGCTCTAACAAGATGTCATTTGTTCAATTGTTGTACTGTTGTAATGCTGCCTATGTTTTTTGCGAGTACTCAACGATTTCAATACAAAAAAAAATATCTTACTCGATTTAGCCTTAACTTTATGGATGAGAATAATAATGACTACACTATCACAAGCATTCCAGCAAACAACACCAATTTACTAAACTTTATACTTATTAAACTAAAATAATAATTCATGTAAATTTCCGTTTAGATTTTTATATTCAGAATAATTTTGTTAACATTGAGAATGACCCGATCGGTATTAAAATGTCTGTTAATTTAAATATATTTTCTTTGTTTTATTTTGTGATAATTTTATTTTTGGCTTGTTGCCCGTTATATCATCTTTTTTAATTTACTATTATCGAGCCTTATTCTTTATAGTTTATTCTTTATTGAGAAGTTTCAAGAAAGGAGCCTGGTTTAGAAAGTCAAAACTCGAATTGGGTTGTAATATCATTGAGTTTTTAAAAAAATTTATTTGATAATTGAAAATGTCAATATTTATTTTGGATATTTCTTCATAGATGTCAGAATTGCAAGATACAATAACAGGAAAAGATACGCTTGCAGCAGAATTGCGAAATCAAGTCGACGATCTGCAATACGAATTGAATAAAGTACGAGCGAGAAATGATAAATTGGAACATCATCTTGGAGAAGCAGTCGAAAAATTAAAAGCTTTTCAACAAATTCATGGCACTGACGAGAAAGGCAGTAACAAACCGAATACTTTAGTTGCATCTAGTGTTTCTCAGACTAAGGTAAAAATTTTATTTTTTTATTTAAAGATATGAGTATAAACTTGAGTTTAATATTACAATACTATTCTTCAATTTATAATATAGATACATATTATTTACAGCTTGATGACATGCAAAGAGAACTTGAAGAAACGCGTGAATTAGCTAATAATAGATTACAGGAATTAGACAAATTGCATCAGCAACATCGTGATACTTTAAAAGAAGTAGAAAAATTGAAAATGGATGTAAGTAAATAGTTTTATTTCCTAAATTTTATTTATATCACAGTATTCCAATCTAATTAACTTTGCGGTTGCTAAATAGCTAAATTTTACCATTTTTTGTAGATAAGGCAACTTCCCGAATCAGTAATTGTGGAAACAACAGAGTACAAATGTTTACAATCACAATTTTCCGTATTATATAATGAGTCTATGCAATTAAAAACACAATTGGATGATGCTCGTCAACAATTGCAGTCGAGCAAGAATGCACATCTGCGCCACATTGAAATGATGGAGGTAAGACCTATATATGTATATTCAAATATTGTGCTTACAAGCATGTAAATTGACATTTTATTTTTATTCTAAATCTTTTTATAGAGTGAAGAATTAATGGCTCAAAAAAAATTGCGCGGCGAATGTATACAACTCGAAGACGTTTTAGCACAATTGCGCAAGGAATACGAGATGCTTCGCATTGAATTTGAACAAAATCTAGCTGCCAATGAACAGACAGGTCCGATTAATCGAGAAATGCGGCACTTAATAACCTCTCTTCAGAATCATAATCAACAATTAAAAGGAGAAGTGCATCGGTACAAGCGAAAATACAAAGAAACTTCTACTGAAATACCTCGAGTGTGTACAAAAACATATAGTATACCATTTTCTAATTAGTTTTCTTATTTTTCATTTTATTACAAAATTTAATTTTTTAAAAATAATTATCAACTTTTATTTACATAACATCTGTGTATTATCTTATATTCTTTTATTTAAAACTTTTAAACTTAGCAATCATAAAACATTCTTCTTTATTGAATATATATTCGTACCCCCCTAATTGGAACATAATATGATGTTTCTTCAAATTTTTTGAGTTCTTTCGACTCTAATTCTTTAATGACCTTTTATAAATCGAGTCATGTACATACCTATGGAATAATAATTAAGGTACTCACGGCCTATCGATTAAAAGTCAATCGCTCTCTACATATTACCTTAATAACAGAATAAAATATAATATAAATTATCACTCAATATATGTATATTATTTAATTGTAAAATAGAGATAACAGTTTTATTTTCATCACACTTTTTTTAGTTAAAGAAGGAAGTAGAGGAATTGACAACTAAATTAGGGCAACAAACGTCGCAAGAAAATAAAGAAGGGAATAATTCAGATGGTAGTGGAAAAGAAGAAGATGCTTCAAATTCATTGCCAGGTTCTACACAGGTATAATGATACAAATATATAAATATAAGTTAAGAGATAGCAACTTTTTTCCATGTAATTAAATTAATTTTCTATGCATTTGTTTGTGTGTGTATATATATATATATAGTCTGAAAAAAATTTTTGTAAAAGTATTAATAAATTGAACTATTTTATTTTGAAAATGAGATTTTATTTAATACTTATTAATTTTTTATATACACGTATAGATAAAGGAAGAAAGTGGTGTTACAATAAAGAGAGAATCGGGTGCTGATGAAGAGGTAGAAACAATTGAGGTTGGAGAAGGTGAAGGCAATAAAAATACACCAGATTCTTTAACATTAACTTCGCCAACTCTAAAAAAGGAGAAAGACATAAAACGAGAGAAGGATATTAAAAAAGAATCTGTGAAAACTGAACATCGGGATCCTGCACATCGCACCAAAGACGCAAAAATGGCAGAATCGGAACTCGTGAGGGATTTGAAAGCACAACTTAAGTATGTTTGCGAAGATGTCTAGTGTTTTAAATAAAATATTAATATTTTTGTCTTGACTATATATTTTTAGAAAATAAAAGTAAATATTTGATTGTAGAAAAGCTGTGAATGAGATGAAAGAAATGAAGCTTTTATTAGACATGTACAAAGGTGTTGGAAAAGAGCAGCGGGATAAAGTACAGTTAATGGCTGCAGAGCGTAAAACGAGAGCAGAGTTGGAGGATTTACGACAGCAAGTTAAAAAGATTCAAGTATGTTATTCATTCAAGTAATATATTTTATAATTACTAGATTACTATATGATAATGATTTATAATAATGTATAGAATGATAAATTAATGAAATAAGCAATGCATGTATATGTATTTGATCACCTATTGCGATTTAGTTCAAGAAAATAATTAGTTTGAATGAAGATCAAAATATTTTGCTCTTTGATATTAATAACATTATGTAAATACTTATTGTACTTTTACTGATTCAACTTAGTGAAGATTTTTTTTTGTTCGAATAACAATGTGAATTTTATTGTGTTCAGGAAAGCAAACGTGAGGAACGTAAGAAATTAGCTGATGAAGATGCACAGATAAAAATTAAGAAATTAGAAGAACAAGCATACACATTACAACGTCAAGTTGCTTGTCAAAAACAGGTAGATTACATTTACTTTTCTTATGATTTTTAACTTTAACACACGCTATATTTTGTAAAAAGATTAAACCTTAATTAATTGGAAGTAGAATTGATTATAAAAGATCTAACTGGAGAATTATTTTGTTATTTATGTTAAGCAATTATTTCTGCAAATAATTACTATGGAGATTTTTTTATGTATAATGTTAAACAATTTTTAATATTGGGAAATAGGTGACAGAATCTGATAGTATACGCCAAATGTAACATTGAACGGAAATGTAACGTTGAACAGAATTGTATTTGGTTGCAGGAAGAGGAAGCACTTCTGAATGAGATGGAAGTGACGGGACAAGCGTTCGAGGATATGCAAGAGCAGAATTCTAGACTCATACAGCAGTTACGTGAGAAAGATGACGCAAATTTCAAACTCATGACAGAAAGGATTAAAAGTAATCAATTGCACAAACTCGCAAGAGAAGAGAAGGATGTGTTGAAAGAACAAGTATCTACATTAACAACGCAAGTGGAAGCGGCCAACGTAGTTGTACGAAAGTTGGAAGAAAAGGAGCGTCTTTTACAAAACTCTCTCGCTACGGTAGAAAAAGAATTGGCGCTAAGACAGCAGGCGATGGAGATGCATAAACGGAAAGCGATAGAGAGTGCACAATCTGCAGCTGACCTCAAACTTCATCTTGGTAAGACTCTTTGTGCAAATGCAAAAACATTAAATTAAGATTTTAAATTATATAAATTTTTTAATCATAAATAATATATTAAGATGTTTACAACATATATTAGCTATTGTTATATTAGTTAGAAAAATAAGTGAAGGTAAATGATTTAATAAAAGTTAAGTAATTATTTCCAAGCAAGAAATTGATACAATTTTTGTTACAGAGAAATATCATTCCCAAATGAAGGAAGCGCAACAGGTTGTAGCCGAGAAAACAAGTTCCTTGGAAGCTGAAGCATATAAAACTAAAAGATTACAGGTATAATGATTAATAATCCTGTAGTAGCTATAATACTTCTTTGTATTCTAAATTTTTTATATCTTAATTAATTGAGTAAAATTAATTATAAAACATCTGAAAATTATTTTCTTGTTTATATTAATTAATAATTTATGCAAATTTTGATATACTATTAGAAAGTAGATGACAGTATCTGCTAGTGTATTTGGTTACCATCATTGATAGAAATAATATATGAATTATGTAGGAAGAAATAGCGCAACTGAGGCGCAAGGTCGAGCGTATGAAAAAGATTGAGCTCGCTGAAACCCTGGATGAAGTAATGGCGGAAGAGCTGCGGGAGTACAAGGAAACTTTAACGTGTCCATCTTGTAAGGTGAAGCGGAAAGATGCCGTACTCACCAAGTGCTTCCACGTGTTTTGCTGGGACTGTTTACGCACACGTTACGAAACGCGGCAACGAAAATGTCCCAAATGTAATTGCGCCTTCGGTGCCAACGACTACCATCGGCTGTACTTATCCACATGAAGAAGAAGGTGCTAACTTGAAAAATACGCCGCGGTGTAGAGTCATGTTTTGTAAAATGTTACGTGAGCATTTCTCTTTTTATATCTTTTATTTATTACTCTAACTTTTTATGGAATTATGACCATATGCAATATGTGATTATCCCTAAATATGTTGATGATGAATCACGAATTTTGCTAAGTTCTTATTAAGATTATAGCACATGAAACAGAACATAAGTCATAGAATTCAAGTCATAGATTTAAGAATCACAGTCGAAAATTAAGGAAACTGAATAATTTATTTATTACTTTAATTCTATTACTTATATGTTTTCATGCCTTATAGTCTAATTTATAAACTAACTGAATAACATATTCAGAATAGATAAGTAAAGTGAATAATGAACGAATGAATGATTAAAAAAAAAAAGAGATAAATAAAGAGGAAAGAGAAAAAAGCTGGATTGTATTTTTAAGTGATACAGTACAGGTTGCAAGCTTTTAATTTTATTTATAATATAAGAAACGATTTATTAGATTACTCTTTGATCTCGTTTTTTATATAAGTTTATGCGAGGTTATTGTTAACATCTTACATATATCAATTGATTACTCAAATCAATGCCTTCTTAAAGCAAATTATTGTCCTTTCAGTGACAACAATTTCCTATTCAAAATGTCTTTTATAAGATAAAATAAAGATCACTGAGCTCAAGTTTGTGTCACTGGATTGATAATCATTAGTCCATTAAATTTTGAAACTATAAATCTAGATTACTGATTTAGGAATTATAACTGTATCCTTTGAAATTGATTAATTGATTGATATATAATATTTAGATTGAATTAGTGTTTGAAATTCATGGAAATGTAAATCTGCTGAATGTGATTAATATTCCACCTGTATGTTCTGGACGTTATGCCTGGTTAAGTCACGTGTAATTACTTTAATTTCATTTGAATCCTTATCTCTAAGTTGAGAAGTCTCGAAGAAGTGCTCCAATTATTGTTTATGTTGACATTTAGATTTGACAATTGGCAATTTATATGATAATCACGCTAAGAATTTATTTAATGAGAAGGATATAAGTAAATTTAGCAACCATGGTCCAAATTCGCTTTGTCTATTGTTTATAATACGAGACAGGCAAACTGATTAATAACAGGAATGTTCTGTACGATAATTACTCGACATTATTCAATAAGAAACGAATTCTTTTCATGTGATTATGTTTCTCATGATTTTCATCGAAATTGCTATTGGAATCAAGAAATAAAAATTAGAGAAATAAGACATCCCATAGTACTTTTAAAATATCTTACAATATGTTATAAACGTGTATTATTTTATTTAAAAACTGTAAGAGAACTATATTTTTAAGTCAAAAGAAAATATATCAAATTTATATATATATATATGTACATACTATATGTATATTGATTTGATTGCCAAGCATCAATATTAGCAAATGTTATTTTAATACTAAATTATCTTATACTATTAAATTTAAATAATTTATTTTATTTGTAATTAAAAAATTTGCACTCCCTAAATTGTTAAATATTTGATACTATTATACTGATATTGTATTATAATATAAATAATTTTTTAATATTTTCACATGTATGAATGTTAATTACGAATGCGAGCATTCAAGTACATGTGTTCGTAAAAAAAAGGAATGCGTGAATAACTTATTTTCATAAAAAAAAAATGTGTCGGTTTGTCAAAGCTGCGTTTCAACAATATTTTGTAGATCTTTCACTTGAACATTTTAAACCAGTTTTTTTTTTGTAGATAAATTCTAATCATATTGTAATAATTTGGAGAAATATTTATTTTTTTAAGTTCTATCTTTTATATAAGGAAGTTTATTTAAATGCATAACAATGTAAATGCGTTTACGAACAATTCAACCTCGTTAAAAATAAACTCTTTTCTTCATTATCTATTTGAAAAAAAAAAAACGTCTCTTATGTAAAGATAATACTTACTAAACTTATTTCAATTCTAAATTTGCAAAATTTAAAACTGCCCAATAAAAACTTTTAATTACAATATCTATATGAGGATAAAAATCGACAAAAAGGGATTCTAAAGAATTTCTTATACTTTGAAACGTTATTTTGCATTCTATTAAACACATTTTTGATACATTCATCTAGTTTTGCTTCATAACAGTGTAATTTTTCGTTCAGACAAACTGAATCGAAAACTCAATGAGAAATTACACTTTTGTATATCATTTTCTTTGCATTATATAATAGTATCAATTAATTCTAATATAGTATAATTTTGTATTATAATTGATGTGCACTGTAAAAAAAACACTAGTTGAAAATTACATGAACAAATGTAAAATTTATACGATTTATAATGAAAACTGTATACATGTATAGATTTTGTTGTTGTTCATGTTATTTTGCATTATGTTATTTTTGATGGTGTACGTGAAGCATAAATAAAAATGAAAATCGGTTTTAATTAATATAAGTGACAAAGAAATTTTTTTCCAACCATATTTCGAAACGACTCGAGTCTCTAATAATTTTCATTTTTAATTTTACGAAATTCAGAAACAAAACAATTTTAATCTTCTATTTTTGAACTAATTTGAAGATTCTCAAAACATAATGAAAAACATTTCATGTTATAGCATTTAAAAAATATTCTTTTTTTATAATAGAATGTAAGACAAAATATTTTTTATTTTTTCAGTATAAACTGTAATATATTTAAGATATAATTTATATTTAATAGTTTATTTCGCAAAATTATCTTTATATTTTTTCATAAATTAATGATAATTATGATATTAATACTTATTATATTTATTAAATAAATTAAAATAAGAATATATATTAAAAATTAAATTAAAAATAAATTATTTAATTTAATTTTATTTTAATTTATTAATAATTAATAAATTATTAAATAATTTAATCAAGATGGATAAAAAATTGAACAAATCTTATTTATTCCGATTTCGAAGTGCTCGAAATTAGTTCAAAAGTAATTTTTTTGAAATAAGTACGTATATAAAACCGTATACATAGGGCAACACGTATATCTAATTATTTTATATATCATATGTTATGTCTTCTGAATGATATAAATTGAATGAAAATGTATGCACAAGTTTTGTTGAACACTAATAGCGTATAAACATCTTTCTATTATACATATATAATAATTGAATAAAAAAATATGGTAAAAATTAATTATTTACGTTTAAATGAAATTCTACCTATCATTTTTTTTATTGTAAATAATTAGACACTATTGTGAAAACAATAGACACTTTTCGCGTAAGTAGTCCTTTTTATATTTCTTAACGGAGGATGAAAATTGGAAACAGGATGCGGACATTCAAATAATTCAGTCCAAACGAATTTATCGTATGAAATTCTTTTGGTTTTTATTCTATTTTACCAAATTTGTTGAAAATCCTAAGAAACAGTTCTACATAAGCTTGAAAGTATCAACGAGAAAAGCCTAGTTTAATCTAAGTTATGTTTTTGTTTTTTTTACAAAGTTTTTACCTTTCGCGGAAAGCTGCCGTTGGTTTTAATACGAAGACAACGGCTATCCGAGGCGAAGTACTATGGACAGACAATTTCTCGACGTCAATTATATTCTAATCGTCTATGCATATTGAATAAAATTTCATCGAGATATAGCAAGAATGGAAATATATGTATATATATACGTATATATATATATATACACATACACACACACATATATATATATATATATATATATATATACATTTAGTACAGTCTTGTAAAATAAAAAACAGTGACAAAAAATTTAAAAATTGACAAGAATTCATTCTGTAGTGTTATGATTTTTTGAGGCTCGAAATTAAGCATTGATTTGAAGATAAATCCTTTTTTGTGCTTTTCTCAATTCTAACATTTTATGTTCAAATCGTTCTCTAAAGATTCAGTCATTTTTAATGATTTTAAATAACTGTTTCATAAAAAATAAAATGTCATATTAAATTCGAATTGAATTATAAAAAATGCAAAATAATATTAGTAAATGGTAACAATGAAAAGAAGACGAATAGCGTAAATTCCACTTTTAACGGATTGCTGAGAAAATCAAAAATTTAATTTTGCAAGCTGAATTCGCGTCAATTTTTTAAAATTATGTCTATCTACTTTTGCAGGGATGTAATAATAAAGATTTAACGGAAACTTTTCAATTAAAAATTAATTAAAAAAATAATTTTTCCTTCTAGTGTAGGTATGTGTCTTTATAAAATAAAAATATATAATAAAAATAGCGCAAACTGTTAAAATATTAAAAATTATACAATAAATATCTGATCACATGTAAATATTTACTATTTTGTGACAGAGAAATAAGTCGATCATTTTTATGTCAGATAAAGTTTATTCAGTTCGACTATGTTATTTGAAAAATTGGATGATAAGAATTAATATTTAGTTATCATCTCGGGTCTTTCGTAAATTAATAAAAGCGGAATTCTGAAATCTCGGTGAATGATATTTGTATAAAAAGCATATTACTTCTCTTTTTTTATAGGACCAAGAAAATTTATATACACATTGCGGGAATACTTCCCTTTCAAATTACTCTGAGACAATTATTAATAACGTTATATACAAGCTGTTCCAAATTCACTGCACATCTCATTTTTTCTCATTTTACGAAAAGCACATAAATACGAAGAGATTAGTTGTTTTTAAACTGATTTTTCTGTTATTAGTGACACAGTCCGAAAAATTTTCAAAGTTTTCTTCTTGATAAGTGAAAATGTCATAAGACATAATAAGGTTGAAGGTAAAAAAATTAGAAAGGCAGATGATGTTTCTATTGAATTTTTCGAGGAGAATTCAGTTCGAGGAGAAACTAAATCAAATTTTTACCAAAAAATATATTGTTAAATGTCATTAAAGGAAAAAAACAGTGAACTTGGGATAGTCTGTACAACATATATTTGTAAACAATATATAAATCAATTCGGGTATACATTTCACAAATAATTTGTTCATGGAAGGGATTAAGATATCCGTCCGATTTAATCGAACGATCGATCGCGTTTAATTGACGCCCTTTACCATTCATACCTTCAATTACATAATCGTATCCATTTCAATTTCTCGTATATATTGCTTAATGTTGATCAGTTTTCCTTGATTAAAATATGCAAAATTATTCTTGACAGATAAACTGACTTAACTCTTTACACTCGAATAATGACAAGATATAGGTTGAAAAAATATATCACAAGAATGAACAATTATGTCATTTAATCTTATGATTTATTTATATATATGCACATAATAATATTGTACACACGTAACAACAAAATTATGTAATTATCATATAAATTCCTTTTACGAAATAATTTCTGTTCTTTTCTTTTAATTAGCCACAGAAGAGAAGAGAGTAGCTTATTTTTATTAACTAAATTTTATTTTTCAAATTTCTTTTTACAAGATCTTCCTTTTCAATCGCAGGAAGGATAATGACGTGTAAAACAGCATTGCCGTGTGCAAAGAGTTAAACCTACAATATTAACAGTATCTTCAACTGTGACTGTTTTTTTTTTCTCTCGGAATCATTCGCTGTATTATTCAATCGATGTTTAACGGTAAAGAGTGTCCGCATGATTGTTATCACACAAGAAAAACATTCTAGTTGTTGCGCGCGAGACTATAAGCCGTGTCGTTCTTGCGTTTTCTCTTTTAGGACTACGGCCCTTCCTGAAGTATTTTTAATTACGTGTAGAAAATGTCGAGAGGTGTTCGAGAAATAATACGATGCTTCGCGGGTTTCGGAAAAACGATTGCACTGGCGAGTGTCGGAAGAAAAGTAACAGGACAGAAGAGATCACTAGTTCGTACCTCTCAGGAACAATATCGTACTTTATTCTATAAGCAGCATGACAATAAAATTACGCTTCTCGATTTCTTCGAGTTACATATATACATATACTGAACTCAAGGCACGTTATCCCCTCGTTTATCAAAAGAGAATAAAACACCATCCGAACTGCCGATCACAGTATATATACGGAATGTCGCAGCGTTATTCAACAAAAACTGACTACAGCTGCGCAATATTTTTCTTATTTAATCTTTTATATCCCTTAAATATAAATCCCGTTGAATATAACTCTGGTGTTTTCTCATTCACGCCTTCCAGGAAGCATTTTTCATAATTTCCCGGAAATTATATATAATAATAAATATACAAATATTATGTCGAATCTATAACGTTAATTGTGTCAATGCTCAAAATCCGAAATATCGCCTAAAAAGCATCTCTTGGCTGAAAGATTTAATTTAAGTAATCAGTACATTTGCGGTAATTCCACGATGAAAGCTACTTCTCGAACACTCCTCGTAACTCGATGCATTCAGCACGGTCCAATAGGACTCACGTCGACGCCACTTCGATAGCTCGGCTCAAAAAGTGGGCAAAAAATCTTATGTTACAAATGTATTCTCAATCATCTAACTCGAAAAATATATCTACATATTTGTAATTTTACCTAGAAAATACTTATGATACTGTTTGCGTTCCTTCGTCAGTTGAATGCAGAAAATAGATGGATAAGAAGAAACCTATATATTTTTTTATTTCGTAATCAAGCCTTTTATTTCAAAATTTATTAAGAAAATGGATTAAATTTAAATTTATACGTCTTATTTATTTTAATTTCTAATATCTTATCATTGTACTGTATTATATTTCTTGCGTGATAAAGTTACCATTTTTTGTTGAAATATTATTACAGTATCTAATTATGTATATATATATATTCCTCAGACATTTATTTGAATTTTCGATAGAAATGTATTGAATATTGATGATTGTGTATATATATTTGTCTTAATCCTTATTATAGTATTAAATTATTTAGTTTTATTAAAAGAAGAAATATGTGCATGTGTAAAATAAATATTAAAAATACTTAAAGAAATCCTTAAATTTCAACAAAGTTTCAATAATTTACAAATTAAAAAAACTTTAATCAAAATTTTTTTGTTATCTATTTTCTGCAGTCAAAATAATCGGATAAAGTTCATAAAATAATACTATACATATAATGAGTGATGGATTTGTAACGCGGTTTACTGGCATATATGTGTGTGATCATACAGTATAAAGGTTTTTTCAGGATTATAAATGATAGCTGAGCCAGTCGAAGACCAAAATCTCACGTTATCATCTTTTCGAGCCGGTCTATCGATTTGCAGCTATCATGAACGAGCTATCCTGCCCGAAAACAACGGGTGCGCTCCAATTCCAGTGCAATATCGATACGAGATCTATTATCGGTAAGTTTTCAAATACGAAGTGAACTATCAGTACGTAATCTGAACTCTACGCCCTACGAGGACGTTCACTCCCCGCGCATCACTGCGCTTACACTCGACATTCACCCTCGGACGCCGATCTCCGACAGCGGAGGATCCACCACTTGGACGCGACGTTACGGATGAAACGGTGCCGATGAGAGAGATAGAGACGTCTGATAAAAATTTCGTGCGAAATTTCGAGCGTAAAGCTTTGCGAGAACGACGATACTCCACTGTTAAAAGGGAGCTCGTGTTCAAAAATCGCGACTATACCCCCATGTACGATATATACCTCCGCGATACTATTTATAGAATAAATACACAAAACTTTATAGAGAGAGTATTTTTCGCGAAGGACGATTGTGTTCGTTCACTAGCGCGAACAGTAACACCACCGTCAATGTCTCTCCCTCGTCCACCCTGTCACCTTGACGTTCTCCTAAAGGAAAGACACTATTATTAGATTCCTATTTGTTCCTAACTGTTCCACGATTCTATCGATCGTCGTTCCTCCGATAATTCGAAGGCGGTCTCGCGTTTCAACACTTTCTCGAAGCACTATCTAAAGAGTCAACTTCATGTTTCATCATCCTCCAGTCTTTTTTTCAACTTGAACTGATTTGTCCCGATGCTCCTCGAAACATTTCCACGCTAGACCTAATGAACTATTCCCCCGTCGTCTCTCGTCATTAATTTTACAGTGACAAGGCAATTTTTGCCTAGCAATTATTAAATTCTTCATCTCTTTTCTATATAGTCCTTTTAATCTCAGAACTAAAGAACTTTTGTTAATACTTCTTTAAAGTTCCATTTTACTATATTGTTTCGCCAACGTTTCTTCTTCGATAAAGCTGCAAGACGATTTGTCACTTAATACTCCTTCAAAATTGCAAACTAAAACTAGTAGCTAAACTTGTGTATGTGTATGTTCCCTCGTAGCTCCCTTGTCGCTTCATCATTCTATCAGTTTGGAGCTACAAAGCGAATAGTTTCTTCAACACTCCCTCAAATGTAGGCTTTAATACAGTTATCTATTTGTTCACCATTTTGTCATCTCTATATTTTTCTGTCATCTTAATACTGCTATCAAACGTATAACGGTGAGATAATTGATTAACTATTCCTTCATCGTTTTACGTTTCTTCTCACTCTTGCTTTGACAGACCAGAATTTAACTTGTCTCTCTTCTTGGTAATGTAATCCACCATTCCTGTCTAATGGTTTCTCTTTCTTCATTGTTCTATATTCTTTTCATTGTTTCTTCAGTACTTCGACAACAACTAAATAATTTTTTACTTTTTTTATCTTAAACGCTACGATTCTTAAATAATTGTTCCTTGTTTTCCATTATATTCCTTCTTCATTTCTCTATTAAGCTTCTAAAGCTCGTCACCTTGCAACACTTCGAAATAAAATTAAGATTATTCAAAAACTCTTCTTATCCCATCATTTTGTCTGTTCGTTTCTTCATTGTCCCTCCAAGAATTTGAAGGCACAAACTGATATCTCTTCGATATTCCTTTGCAATACTAGAATTGTTAGATAACCATTATACTTGCCATTCTATTATCTGTGACGTCTCGTAATAAAAAGATGACGTTTTATCACATATTGTCATTGGCGCAATCACATAATTTGTTAATAAAGACATAGAAATTTTAAAAACCAATGAACTGACCATATCTGTCATGTTGCAACACATTCTTTTTCTTCATATGTAGATAAACAGTTCTTTCACGCGCACTGATCGCGAGTTTATCACTGAATATTACATAACAACGTCACATCATTATTCCAGAGAAGTGTTCTAATGCGAGAACTTAAGGAACACCTGTTCCAAGGTAGTTTGACTAAAGCTGTACTCTTCAATGTCCAATTCGAGCTTGGCTGCAAGCAAAAGTTTTCAAAAAATTACGAAAATTTCCTTCACAATCGATTTAAAATATAAGAGAAAGGCTGAGTAGTTTTAAATTTCTAATATCAAATCTCTCTCTCTCTCTTTCTCTTGTTTAAAATTTTGCTAATTAAAAATTGTACAATTGCTATTAAGAATTAAGACGTGTGATATTCGAAATTGTTACAACTACAAAAAATTATATGTAAAATATCCAAACTAAAAAATCCCAGACTTAGATATCAATAAAATTATGTATTTTTCTAATTATCTTTTAATTCGAATAAGTCTTTATTAATACGCTTATATAAAAAAAGTCCTTAGATTTTTGTGTTCTTTGGGTCTATGACAAGCTGATTATTAAATTCTAAGAAACTTCTTCAAATTTTTCAAATCGTCTTCTCACCTTTTTCCAATTGTGTAAAGCATTCAGCCAGTGAGGTCACAGAATGTTGGGGCACGGCAAAAACTAGCCGGTCAGCGAAACTTTCCTCTAGAGTGGCGTCGGGGAAAAGGCCGGCGACGAATTCCTTCAAGCCGGTGATCCTGTCACCGGAGGGTGTTGTCGGTGTACAGTCACCGCCCTGCAGCTTCATCTCTAGAGTATAGCCAGCACCATAGAGATTTTTTAGATGCTGAGTCGAGCCGATGCATCTCAGTTCACCCTTCACCATTATGCCGACTCTTGAACACAGTGCATCTGCTTCTTCCATGGAGTGGGTAGTCAGTATAACTCCTCTACCACCCTATTAATAAAAAAAATGTTTAGAAGAAAAGTTTCAATGTAGTCGAATCGAGACATCTTCAATCTTTCAATGTGAATTGATTGCTGATACATTCTGATAATTGTATTGCCATTATTTATTCTTCTATATTTGCTTATATCTATATTTATTCGTATTAATTTTATACTTTTTTTATTTAGTTCGTAGAAATTACAAAAAAATATATTATAAAAAAATCTATTGATTAAGGAAAATTTTAAATTACAGTATATGATATTTTACCTGGAAACTAGCGAGAATCGTATCCCATAGAAATCTCTTTGATCTGGGATCCATACCCGTGCTTGGTTCATCCATAAGAATCAGCTTCGGTCCACTGACCATTGCCATCGCGAAGCTAAGTTTTCTTTTAGTTCCGCCGGAACATTCTTGGCTCTGCTTGTCAGCATGTTCGTGAATCTGTAGACCGGTTAAATACTGATCCACGATTCTGCAACATAATAATTAAAAAAACAATATTCTATCAATTATGTTAGAAATGCTAGTATCGACTTATACATCAGAAAACTAGATTGCCGTATGGAAAAGAAAATACTTAATTAATGCTACGCTATTTTTTGACACTGCAGTAGAACTTTTATTCTATAAGTATTAAACAGATTTTTTTTAATTCTATAATGATTCACAATTGTTTATATAAGTTAATTATATCCCTAAAAAATTAATTATATTTTACTAAGTGAATATTAAAAGATCGCACCTGTCGACTTCGCTCCAAGGAACACCGCGAATCGCAGCGTAGCATTCCAGATGCTCTCTTACAGTGATATTCTTCCATTGAGCGTCGTGCTGGGGACAGTAACCCATCTGCCGGAAAGCCTCCGTCATGTGGGTGTTAATGTTATGACCACTGATCTGCACTCTACCCTTCGTTGGTGCCTCCTCGGCGATGATGATCTTCATTGCCGTGGTCTTACCGGCGCCGTTGTGACCTAATAGACCCAGAACCTCACCCGGTTCTACCGCTAATGAGAGGTTTCGTACAGCAACCATCCTCTCGTCTTCACGCTTTGTACAGCAGGATGATCCTGACTCTTTTTGTTGATATTCCTTTCGCAGATTCTATAATCATGCATTTTATGCATGTGAGATATAGAGTACCTTTGCATTCCAGTAAAAAAGGAATTAATTTGAATATTTGTGTTATAAAAATTGCTTTAAGTTAAAACAAACTGTGTTTGTGTAACTAATTTTGCTATTAATTATAAGAAGATCAAAAAATCGTTTGTTTTACCGACACAATAATTTTCGTAGAATAATATCGCATCTGTATATTACTCTTTTACAAATTTGGAAATTCTTTCCCAGAATATCGAAATAAATAAAAATGCATTTTAAAACTAAAAGTTGATGCTTTCGCAGGGCATTAATAAAATTTATTTATAAATTGGACACTGCTGCTACAATATCATGAAACCTTCAAAATGGTAGATAATTTTTAATGCCATTTTTTGTTAAATTGTTATATGTTAGCTAAATTTTGTCAACGAATTAATGTTCAGCATCAAAGATACGTTAGAAATGATTATTCACATTCGTATTGCAAAATGGTGTTGAAGACAATCTAGTGTCTCCAATTTGTACTTGACTTACTTGAAGCAATACTAAAGGCGGTTCTTGACCGAGAGCTGAAACGACAAAATTGAAAACCTTTTGTCGCTCGTTCTTTACATCTGCATCTTCATGTTCGCCGATATCCGAATTTTCCATAATTTCCTCACGAATGGAATCACCATCATGCTGTGGAAAAAAATCACATTTTTGTTGCAAAAATATATTTTAAAGATATATTTGATAGGTTTATAATATATTTAATTTAAAATATTCACTCATAAATAGAAGACTGGAATGTACCATATACTTTAAATTATATTAAAAAAAACTGTTTATCTGCGATTTATTTATTAAATAGGCAAACAATTATATAATTTAAAAACGAAAATGTATACCTATATTTCTTATACTATTTCTCAATATAATCATTTTTATATTATAATCAAATAAAGAAATTTATAAATAAGTTAGAAAAAGAAAGAAAATTACTTATAAAGGAAGTAAATTTTTTAAAAATTAAAGAATTCAATTTTTTATCTTAGAATATGAGATTTGAATCATATTGCAATATATATAATAAGTATAAATATAAAACAATGATGCAATTTTAAAATATATGTTTGCATATAAAAAAAGATAGGTTTACCAGTAGTAATAAAAATTTTAAGTGATAACGTTAAATTTGAGCTAACCAGAAAGTAGTGTTTAAACACATCGCTGACATTGCCGCCGCTTTTATTGATGTCCAGTACGAGGAGTACTATGAACCAAACCGGACATTGTATTAATGCACCAAAAGCCAGCAATATAATCTCCACAGTGAGGTAATCAGACATGGCGAGATAATGACAGGCAGCATTGATGGAGCACATCAAATGAACGCGGTCCACGTAGTACACCGCCGCGTACGGCACGTACATGCTGTTCAATAGGGAAAAGGCCACGTGCAACGCGAACGAAGCTGTCCCACCTTGAGCAACAGATATGTAACAGATAATTTTAATGATATCAATTTTGATAAAAAAAACAGTTATAAAGCTTATAGTCTCAAAGATAAGAGAAAAATATAATATATAAATAGTTTGACAACTCGACAACGCTGCAAGTTAGGAACTGAAAACATTCAAAATCAAAAGCTTATAGCTAAAGGCATACAGCTTTTCAACAATTAAAGAAAAAAGATATAAATAAGTTTATTCCACAACATCACAAATTAGATTTCAAAATAAGAAAGCTTGTGAGGAAGATGGCTTTTCATTATAGTTTCACTGAAAGAAAATGATGAGATGATTTCAATACGTCGGTTTTATTATTTACCGAGTCCTTGTATATCAAGAATCATGACAAGGATGAACGGTAGCAACCCGAATAAGGTCGCGATGTTCGGCAACATGCTTTGCGCGGAATCCACTTTATCGAAGATGTAACTGAGACATGTAGAGAAGACGATAGACGATGGGCAGTAGAACATGATAAGAATGCTGAGGGTGATGATGGCCGGTATTTCCCGTAGCGAAGGCACATCGAAGAGGAATATGATGCCGAGGATGCACAGGCAGATGAAAATCATCAGGCCGACTAACACAATGAAGTAGCTAAGAAAGTACGTGGAGAACGACAGGCCATTCACGCGAAGTTGATTCTTCGCTTTAATCTGAAAAATATTTTTATACTGTATATAGAATCTCTCTGAAAGAAAATATATATCACATTTCATTTTAACTTTATGCTTGCTGAATCTTTCAAATGATTTCGAATAAAAAAGTTCATTTCAACAAATATACGCATAATAAGAGAATTAAAATTCAAAAAATAACAATTTTGCTTAAAATTAATAAAAGAAACTTTGCAGTTTAAAAAAATATATTTAAAAAATACATAGATTTTTAATATTGATAGATTCTTTGTTTAATTTCTAGCATATATAATATTATTAAAATATTGTAACTCGTATAATAAGGTAATAAGATTTAAGAGCTCTTACCTCGCGATCGTAAACCATGTCTACTGCTAAAGAAATCGGCAATATTATGAAAACCATGCCGAGAAAGATAGCACTGCTGGCTGCGCCGACACTGAACTGTTGGGGTTGCGACGTTTGCTGGAAAGGATGTGTATAGACTTCGATTGGCGTAGCTTCATTCTTACCCGAGATCAATCTAAATAAAAATTTATAATTCGTAAAATTATTATTCTCTCAATTTGAGAGGCGCATATCATCTAACTAAATTATGATCTTTTTTGTTTATATAAAAATCTTTGAAGGAATTAGTTTATAATATCTTACAACAATATTAATTTCTTTACTTCATTTTTTTAAAATTCTTTTATAACAAAGAGTCTACTTGGCATTACAAGTACTTTGAATTATTTGAACCAATTGAAAGAATTTTTATAATAACCAATCAAAAAATATTTCGAAGAGCATTTGTAGTTGCATCAAATGGATCATGGTCAAAATGTAACACCCTAAACATTTTTTATTTTTAAAGAATTTACATATCTTAAATATTTCAAAATTACTGAAGTCTCTTTATTTTTTCCATATGATAAACTCACCTATAATAAGCGTTCGAAAGAATGTTTATCAATATCGGAAGGGAATGTTGCATCGTATCGTTGTATGTGACGGTCAGGTTGAGTAGCGGTAGATTATAATCGTTAATATTGAAGGCGGCTGTATGTGGCGCAATATTCATTAAATTCGCGAAATTGCCATCATATTCTTCTATGTGCTTCGCGTCTTGAGTTATACTGTCTATCAATTTGGTAATGTCGTGATCGGTATTATTTAAATACAGGATCTTGGTTTCGTTGTATGTATCTAAGAAATGGAAAGCATGCTATAATTAATTTGATTTTGCAAAAATAGTAACGATTTTAAAAATATAATTTGTGTTCTATAAAGTAAAGTTTTCACATACTTTTGCCCATAAATTCATGAATCTGATTAATTTATGACAGCAACCTTTAATTAAAATATAATATTCCACATTTTCGTGAATTTATGGACATATTTATTAAATATGTAATTGAAATTCTATAAAAATATATTTATTATAAAATACTATATTCAATTTAAACAATAGGAATGTTGTTCTTTATAGAACTGATTTGCAAAATGTGCCATACTTGTTTTAAAATTATACATATATATAAATTGAATGCAAATAAAAAAAAAGAACCAAACTGTCTTCTATTTTGTATAATTTCAAACACTTACGGCTATTAAGTTTTAGCGACTCCATCTTGACATCGACCGTTCGGATGCTGTTCAGATAGAGACCGAGTGCTACCAGAGCCAGTGGCGTGACGATTGTGAAGTATAGCAGTTGGAGGTTTCTGAAGAGTCTGAGTACTCTTATACGTAACAAGGCATAAATTGTTTGAAAGAAGTTAGGCCGAATCTTGATGGAATCTAGGCCGAGACCGAGCACAGGTGGATTTCGATCATTATGAATACCGTCCGGCAAATCATTAGCTAAAATAATTCCATAATATTATCATACTTATTTAAACAACATTAAACAACATAAAATATTTATAATATTTAATATTAAATAATTTAATTCAATATTAAATAACTTATATAGATAGATAATTGACGAAAAAGTTTATTTTAGAGAAAAGCAAATAATTTCCTTTTAAATTGCAAAAACTTAGAATAAAACGTTGAGAGAAGAGATGATCCACGTACCTTTCCCTTGACCGTCGCCTTGTACGATTACACCCTCGTTCTGCAAACTCTGATACGACGTGCTCTTGGACTGTAATGAAAGTGATCGACTGAGGGCGCGATTACGCACCATCTTTTTCGACAGATTGTCCATTGTACACTCGGTCTCCTCGTCCTTTTCCAGATGCAAAAATACCTCCTCCAAAGTAGTCATCGACACACCATAGCTATTGATGCCAAGCCTGCTCGTACGAGTCTTGATCTCATGCTCGATGGCGGAAAAAAGGGGTGCAAAATTTTCTACAGAGTTGTGAGGCAGAATAAAGCTCAATTCCCGACCGTGACGTCTTGCCTTTTCCGCTTTGCTCACATGCGAAGTTACTAACCGGCTAATAGCATGTTCCCTGGCATTACCCTCCAAAACTAATCTATAATTGCAAAATATAATATTTATTAATTGCTCAAAATTATTTTATTTTTAACAAACAACTGTATACACTTTGTAATTCCTTTTTGTTAAAATTTTAAGCTCTGATAATATACAACATTGAATTTGTGTACAATCTCATATGCTTTTCTATAGTGAATAAAAAATAATTTCTACATCAAATTAGTTGAAATAAATAAATGTAAAACAAATTCTTTTTCTGTGTTCTTTCAAATAAAAATTTTTCAACGTGTATATACGTAATATACAAGAATAAGTACTAATGACGGTATTCATACGTTAAATGATATCCAATGCCGAATTTGTTCTTTAAAAACAGAGAACTGCCACAACATCTAAGCTTTCCCTTGCTGATTACTGCTTTCCTGTCAGCAAGTATATCCGCTTCGTCCATGAAGTGAGTTGTCAACAGAATCACTTTTCCGTGTCGCCTCGACTGGAGAAGAGACCATAACTGTCTTCTCGAATAAGGATCCACTCCGGCAGTAGGCTCGTCAAGAATAATAATTTTGGGATCACCGATGATTGCGATTCCCACAGACAGTTTTCTCTTCTGTCCACCGCTTAAATATCGTGCGAAAGTGTCCGCCTTCTCGACTAGATCAATGTCTTTTAGGGTTTTCTTCACCTAGAGATCAAATATTAATTTTTTTATCCATTTTTATTCTATTTTAAATATTATAAATAAAAATATCGAGCTTCATTATTAATACAAATTATTATACAAAGTAGTATACTATAAATCAGTATAATATAAATATAGAATACACTAATTTTAATCTTTAGGTACCTCATGTCGTATCATCGAGCGTGGAATGCCACGCACCGCGGCGAAGAACTCAAGGTGTTCGCGCGGCGTCAGTAGATCGAAAAGGATGTCGTGTTGCGGACAGATTCCAGTCATGCTGCGTATCGCTCGCATGTCGTTGAAATCACGCACATCGTAACCGAATATTAGAGCGGTGCCAGATGTAGGTGCGGTCAGGCCTGTGAGGATGTTGAAGAGAGTGGTCTTGCCGGCGCCGTTGTGACCGAGAATAGCAGTGATTTGACCCTCGTAAATAGTCAAATTGATGCCATTCACCGCCTTGATCTCCGGTTGCCTGCACTTGTGGAATGATTTGTAGAGGTCAGCTATCCTGATCGCTTCGCGGCCTTTCATTTCGCGCACCACCGGCTCCACGTCGCGATTCGCCTCCTCACCCGGAATAAACGAGTTTGATTCACCGTTCGACGATGGCACCTGCAAATATTTCTATGAGAACGACAATTGTGACACACCTCAACTCATTATCAATTAATATCCCTATTATACGTGTAATTCTATTCATTAACTTAATAAAATAATTATTATTATTATCATCGTTATTATTAAAATGAAAAAGACTAACATACATACACACGAACGTTTTGAATAATTTAGAATGCTTTCCACACGTTTTTATAAAACCTTTCAAACTTTTGTGCTACTTTAAAACATCTCAATTAGTTCGTATATCAATCCGTCTCGGTAATTTAAAAATATATATAGTTATTTAATGTGTGTATGTATATATACTTATAAATATTCATACATACATATATAATATATTTCAATGAAAAATCTAATTAATTTTATTTATATTTTTGTTATATACACTTATGGACTCACCCTTTGAACCTTCTTTGGACACCAAAATCCAGGTAAAAAGCAAAACCAAGGTGGTCTCTTTGTTCCATGCTCACCTAGAAATTGATTTTTACATTAAACTTTATTTAAGTTTATCATATATCATATAAATATTATACATATACATATACATATATACAATATATAAAATAATTGCGCATCATGATGCCGCAAATAAAAAAATTGTTTTAAGAATTACTTTAACGTAAGAATATTTTCATACATTAATTTTAAACAAAATTTAAATATTTTTAAGCAATTTTGCATTGCAATAACTCATGAAAAAGAAACTTACTTGGAATTACGGAGTCAAGATAATAGGCCAGATAGCCGTACAAAAAGATATCCAAAGTCATCATAATAAGACTGCCACCAAAAGGTATTCCTGGGCCGGACCAGAGATTGTCGAAATTTACTCCTTCACCTTGCAGGTCCAATACCAGAGACTAGATAACACAATGTCAAGCTTTGTAAAATACACAATCCAGCATAAACACCAAATACAAATACTATATATAATAATATAGACATAACGTGCATATTTATGAATATGTTATATAAGAATTATATATATTTATATATAACAACATTTAATAAGGCTATATATAAAAAATCCATATTACCAATTATATAAAAACTTCTGCAAGTTTCTCCTTCTTAAATTATTTATTAAGTAAAATATTTCGTTAACAATATAAGAGAAATTGCTTAATTTTTTTTAAATGTGTAATACAAATTACAGTTTTAATAATCATTTAAAGAAAATTAAACAAACTGTTATTATTATTGTTAGTTGTTTCAAAATTATACATATATAAGGAATTAAGAAAATATTTTGAGACTTACCTTATCCATCGCCAAAGCGAATGCAGTTGGACTGATCAAAGAAACCAACCAGTATGTAACTGAGCTGGAATCACTAACAAATACTTGAATGAAGTATATAAAGCTCAGTATTGTAACAGCAAAGTTTCCTAAAACACCAGCCGTCTAAAACATATAAAAAGATATTTTAATTAATCATATTACATAACTTCTTTTTAAGAAAATATAAATAAATAAATAATTTATATATTCTCTCTCTGTACTAATCTAATAATAGTACGACATACACAATCGTAAAAATTATTGAAAAAAAAAACAAAAGTTCCTTTTTTTGGAATAAAATTAAATCTTTAGACACAAAAAGAAAAATGCACGAAGACAATCTCATTAAAAATTACTTACGCGCGACTTATCGAAGAATGGCGTGACCATAAAGGCGAACATAATCACGGAAAAACTGTATAGAACTACCAAAAGGAATATTGGCAGAAAATGTGTGTGTTGAAACATTTGCAGGGTGAAGAGCAACACCACTCCGACGGCAGAGAGCAAAAAGACGAAGATGCTGTAAATGATGAACCAAGACAACCTACAAGAAGAAAAGGAATACATACAGGACGCTGTAAGAGAATATCAATAATAACATTTGACATAAATTAATTATTTTTTCAAAATCATACATTATCAAAGCTTAAAAAGCTGTCGATATTAGATAGAATTATTTGTAAATTTACGATCTTACCAAAACACGGAATCGTTTAAACCCATCATCTTCATTCCCTCCTTAATCTTATTTTCTTTCTCACCAACTATTAAGATGAGAAGATAGGTAATGAATTGCGAGAGCGCAAGAACCATGTAAAGTGGAATAACAACTCTGAAGGCCAACATCCAGTCTAAGAAAATAATGTAATTATTTACACACTAAATGCGGCATGTATGGCAGAAATCAGTGAATCTAAAAATTTCTGGTAAGATTGCTTACCAGCAGTATACGCTTCCTTGGGAAACATTATGAGTTTAATATCCGGTACTGTCACATCGGGATTTCCCGGGTTTACAAACTGCAAATAATAACATCAGGATTAATTTAATTATCAGAATAAATCTATATTCTTGTCAAGCAATAAACGTGTGACTCAAAAATAAAATCAATGAATATTTAGTAGATAAGCTTTTTGAAATAAAAGAAAGAGACTTACTCTTATCTTTGTGATATCCATCAACATCTGCAAGGCCATAAAGCCGGAATGCAAGTAATTGTCTGCGGGACAAGCTTCCCCGGTCTTTATCGATAAAAGATCGACTACCCAGTGACTAGTCTTATTCTTTCGACAACTGACCGGAGCAGAATATAATTTGGTTGGCGATGGCAGCAAGACGTATGAAGGATTCGTTCTAATTTCATATCTAAGTAGCATGAAAGAATTCGTATGTTAATAAAAGATGCTGAGCCAACATTCTCTACAGAATCGAACCAAAATAAAAGAAGCAAAATTTATGATTAATATGATTCATACTTAATGTTATAGTATTCATTATTATAGACTTGATTTTGAAATTTATTTGTCGAAATTTATGATACGCATAAAATATTTTTAATGTTAATTATAGGGATAGCAACTTTTAGTATTAAAGAGATGATAATATATTACAACAGTCAAATAAGATAAATTAATTGTAAGATCAGATAAATCTATTAGAATCTATCACATATTTTATTGAAAAAATTAAACTATTTTTCCCCTATATAGTTACTGAAAATAATAAAAAAAGAAAAATTCTGCTTTTAAGAATAATGTTCGCTATTATATGTGATGTTTGTTATAAAAATCTTTGTATAGTAAGCAAGAAATTTATTGTGACATTTCAGCAACATTGTAACATTACCGAAATGTTTCGATATATTTCTTGCTGACTGGATATTCTTATTTTAAAAAATAATATAATATACAAACATAAGAAATAAAAATGTTCCTTATAAAAAAATTTTCGTTTTCTCTGAATCTCTTTTTTCTTGAAAAAAATTGCACACGCTTTTGTTCTAAATTTAATTCATTTAAAACAATGGTTAAAACAATGTAAAAATTATCTTACATAAGACGCTGCGATATCGGTTGGGGGTCCTCGAAAATAACTGCTAGGGGTATACTGTAAGGATCTCTCCAATACGCTGCTTGCAGATCATCCTTCGTGTCGAACATCATAAAGTTTAAGGGAAGCTTACCTGGATAATCCCACATAGAGAGCCAGAGGCTATTCATGGAGCTTAAGAAGCTCTAGAAAATACAACGTCAATTTTATATCACGTGAAATCTTGCAACATCTGGCAAAAAGACCATCTATCAAAGCAGTTTATGCTTAAATAAAATTACAATATTGTAAAAAATATACATTACTTAGCAAAAAAATGTAATTTTTAATAAATTTGAAGTTAAAAAATTATTTCCAAATAAAATTTTACTTCAAAATATTTAAAGAAGTTAAGATTATATATTTTTATTTAAAAATATAAAAATTGAGATTTGTTTTAAAGCCTCAACTTTTAAACAGTTAGATTTGAGAGAAAATAGAAGTTTATTTAAAAATCATTTCAATGAAAATCGTTTGTAACAAGAAAATAAAATAAACAATATAATAATTTTATTCATATATGCACATACAGGCATGTTTCGTAGCATATGAAAAGAACTGAAATAACACCGGAATCTTTGAAAATAAAAATATTTGTTATTCGTTTTAAAAATATTCATACTTAAATCGACTATTTAACGCGATTGAAAATAATTTTCAAAGACTATAGTATACTCACAAGGGTTTCCGTAGAATTGGGCACCACGGCGATTGTATTGTTTTTGTAGCCATTGAATAATTCAAATATATCCCCTTCATGCTTCTGCGTCAGCATCGCAGGAAAGTTTGGATTGGGTATCATGACCTTCACCACGATCAAGGCTCCGAGAATATAAAGGGGTAGAAAGACCTCCTGTGGGTAATCAAATGATGCTGATTTGAGATCAGATAAATACATAGTTATATAATATATCTCTTATAACATCAATTCTCTCCATTTTTATTGTAACATCATTGCTCATAATACGAGTAATAATACACACACACACACGCACACGCACACTAAGTAGATATTTTGATAAAAGAAAAAACAATTTGAAAGAAATAAACTTCTAAGTTTTCCTCTACAAAAAATAGATAATAGTTGATAAAATGTATATACATATATGTCTATACATAATTTAATGTTATTAATTTATCAACTATCGTATCTATATAGGTTATCTCTTTTCACTTTTTTTTTTTTTCAATTCTTATTCCTTTATTACTGACAAATTTTTAAAATAATAATATATTTAAAAAATACGAGGAGGTAACCACTATAGCTGAAATATTGTCCCACAGATTACATAATTTTATTTGATTTCATACGATTTCATCTGATGAAAAATAATTTTCTTTACTATATATATAAAGTTATTTAGTAAAATAAACGATTATATCTGATATTATACAATTATTCTTTGTAATTGCATATATAATTATTGGATTATACATAAGAATTTCATACGAATCTTATACTGATTTCAGGAGCTCTATCCCACGATTACATTAAGTGGTTACCCCCTCAAAAAAATATATATAAATACATAATATGTATATTGAATATACATTCATCATTATAAAATTAATTAATTATTAAAAAGACATAAAAAAGATAAAAAGTCAAGGACTTAATATTTTTTAAAAAGCATATTTTGTGCATAAATATATAAACCGTTCCATAATTATACAGTTTACATCAAATGAATAAAATATTTCTATTTCATGTCTGTTGCAGTTAATTATCCACAGTACATAATAAGGTAGGGTGGTTACCCCTTGTTTTACATTATTAAATAAAAACGTAACATAAATTCTACATGGTCAGAAATCCCTCGCGTACATACATGCGTGTCCTATAATTATTATGTTCCGCACGCGCACCTGCTGTTCTGCTTCCCTATTCGTAACACAATACTAAACAATACTCCGAATCGTTTCGATACTGCATATTTTTTTCTTCTAACAAATTAAGAACTTTGTTTCAAGAAATTTTCATAAAGCTTTATTCTGACAAAGCTTTGTAAAAAATTCTTTAAATGATAAAAAAATTTATAACAATATATAATTTAAATTTAAGAATATTATATTACTTATTAATATCATAATATAAGATTGTCTTATAATTATTGCCCTTCTCTTTTGCGAATTTTATAGTTAATTTGTAAATTATTAGAGATGTAACCTCTTTTTTAATAATATTAAAATAAAAATAATTTTTTAGTAAAGTTTTATAATAGAAACAACTATTCATCTTACATATCATAAGTAATGGTAAATATAACTAATTAATTAATTAAAATAACTTTATATTATTAGTGTATTATACACTTTATATTATTAGTGATGTTAATTTATATAAAAAGATTAAATTAGACGTGGTGATTTTTTCAAATACATTTTTCTTTAATGGAATAAATCTTTTACACTACATTGTCACATTTAATGTTTATAATAAATAAATTATGCGAAAAGCTGACAAGCTAAATCTTTCTTAAGAACAAGTTAAAGAACTTTAAAAAATTTTTAATTACAATAGACGAACAAAGGGACAATAAATTGTGAGACATTCTGTGCATTGTTTGGGAATATTGAGCTCCGAAAGTTCCGTCGTCATGGCGATCAACAAAAAGCTAACGCACCCTTCGCGATAATCGCTAGAACGTTGGAAGATAAAAGACACAGCGATCTTTCTAACATTGTCACGTGCGAATCATAATGTAGTGTAGTGTAAAAATTTATATTATTTCCGTGTCTGTATCAATGCGATGATTACATAACACAGATCGATGCAACGTCGATTATAAAACATCATAATATTCGGATGCCAGTGAACAGAATCCTTATATTTCGTCTTCGTAGCACGTGAGCGAAATAGTATAAACATACAAATGGTAATTGCTTCCATCTGTGACTTAATGCACCATTCACTTGCTCATTACGTCTTTTAATTTTCATCTGCTATAAGGAGCGGGCATTACATAAGAGAGGTATTATAAGAAGTAGAGGTGATATAAGAGCTAGAATAAAAAAGTAAAAATAAATTTGAATTGCACGATGGAAAGTGTATGAAAAAAATATAATATGTATATTAAAACATTAAGTGTTTATACGAACATAAAATATTTTGATAATTTTCCCGTTGTCTGACATAACGTTGTAAATACTTTATATACATGTCAATATTACAGAACACTGCTAATTATAATTCTGTCCTGTGATTGCCTTTTATACGATTTCTTTACGACTCCTCTTTTTCTATCGCTCTTTTTAATATAAAGAAATATCGATAGCTTACAAAAATAGATTAAAGAAAATGAATAGAAATATATTTTACAACACTAAATCTCCTATAATTTTTTGAAAAGACAAAATAAATTTGGAAATAAATTTAAATGCGCAAAAGACAGAGAGTAAGAATTCAGAGACAATGTCGTTCTGCGTGGACATTGTTACCGAGGATTCCTTCTACGAGAATCTGACCCTCGGCGTAGTCAAGATCCTCGAAAACTCGCCATGCGTGAGAAATGTTCGGATCGAAAGGCGAAATGGCTGTGAATCTGGCGCTATCACCAATTGGGAGCAACGCCATTGCTGTGCGCTTCCCGAGGACATCCGGAATTTCTATGCTTCTATCGATGGTTTCCTGTTACAATGGAATCTCGATATAGCAGGTAAACACGATGGCTATTTAATCCTGCATTTCTGATTCAATGTATCTTTCCATAACTTTTCTCTTTTCGTTGATCCCATCAATTGTATATTTCTTCCATTATAATATCCATATATACTCCGTAACATTATATTTTATAAATTTATATAAATGAATATCCATTATTATTCATATTATTATTTTATATTCATTAAACTTTTTTTTAAATATTGTTACAAAAATTATATATGTATATTCCACGTATAATTTTATAAATTTTTATTATCGTAATGTAAATATTCATTATAAATTTATAGATATTTATTATCTCAATTTATCAACATATGTTATCAACATATCTAAGATGTTTTATGATTTATTTTAAAAAAATTTATAATTATTAAGTTTAAACTGCGAGAATAATCATTTTTATAGCAAAAATGGTTGATCACCATAGCATGTCAAGAACTTTTATTTTTATAATTTACATTTTATTTAGAATACTTTGTATAACTGTTAGCAATTATTATATCACAAATCAAAAGATGTACTTATAAGCAAAGTAAACATAAAAACCAGTCTTGTGTTTTTTATCAACGATTGTGTGTATACTCAGAATATAGGATTTATCTAAAAAAGAGCTTTCAAAGATATATATACTTTACCATGGAATCTTATATGGTATTGTGATATTATGATAGATAAAAATTAATCACTGAAAATTTTTTATTGTTTATTGATTTCTCGACAAGCTCGTGTGTTACTTTTTTGTCGCAACGTTTGCTGTTAACGATCCTAGATTCAAAAAATCCGACGTCATTGGACAAAACAAGCATACTGAAATATATTATCCAATATAGAGTCACGATTTAGTTGTCTAAGTAATGAGAGATGATAATCTAAACAACACAATTTGTCAAAAAAGTATCACGTAATTGTCTAAAAAAAGCTTCGAGTACTTTTCCCGAGTTTTTACATTGCCTATAGTAATGTGAAAAATTGTTAGCTTCAAACTAATGACTGTAATTCTCCGATATTAATTAAAAAATTTCATATCGACGTAGGCGAAGAATTCTCAATAGGTCGTATGGAAATTGGCGGTCTTGCGTCTCTGAAGAGATATGTCGGTAAAGATCGGCAGACAGGACCATCGACGCAGGAATCGACAGAAATCCAAGCGGGAAACGTCACCGCAGAACTACAAGACACCATGTTCTCCGGGGATTCACGCGATTGTAAACTCTTCGAAATTGGCCAGTGTTTCCCAGGACCAGAAAATGGCAGGATTTATTTGGCATATCGTTCTAAACAGGAACAAGACTCGCCCAGTATTTGGCTCCATCGAGGCAGTGGCTGGTACCACTTAGCTGATAATTTTACCGTATACTTCCGTATGATGCTGGCTCATTTGGGGTTGCCACTGTGGCAGTGTTGCGTCACAGGATTACCTCTGCCTACTTGGGTCGAGCAGGCGTATTTTCTGGTCGGGCCTCATTTGCTGCCATCTACCATTGAGCCTACTGAGACCGTGTCTGCTTCATTGTGGAACAACGGACCCATCAATGTTCTTGATCCAGCTATCTTTAAAGCTAAAGATAGCAAACAGAGGAATGCTCGCAAAAAGTGAACTTGTTACAGTGATGGTACTTGAAATTTTTGACAGAAACAAAGTTCTGTTCAGAATGAAGATAATACGATAATTTATAATTTTTGGGTTTTTGCAGATTCTCCCGACAGATCCTATCACAACGGAATGAAACGTTCTTCTCCTAATACCTTGATACTATAGTTAAGTTTAGATAAAAATGTATAATAAATATGTAAATGCGCGAATACATATCAAACAGCGAAAAAAGGATTTTTTCTCGCCATGTATCCCAAAATATAATAAATTCAACAATATAATAAATATTAAGTTTTAGATACAGTAAATTATTATACTGAAATGCAGATTGATTATTTAAGAATTAAGATAAAAAAGAGAATAAAAAATCACATTTCGAGTTTTTTTATAGATAATTCATTAATTTATAAACGTAAAAAGAATATATTATACATATACTAAATATATCCTAGATCTCGAAAAATATGAGCATTAAAAAAATTAACAATTATCACAAATTTAAAAAATCAGTAAAATTGAGAAGAGTCTATATTCTCTGATAATCTAATTCATCGATTTGTGATTGACATATTTGGAATATGTATTTATAGCAAGTGTTCTAGATCTGGCAAAAATTTTATTAGAGTTTAAATTATAAACAGTAATTATATTTAAAATCAGACTATATATATATATATATATAAAATTAATTAAAAAATTAATTAATTACATTAAAAATTAATATGTACCTATTTTGACGCACGAATAAAATTTTACAGATTTAAATACATACAAAATATCTGTAAAAAAATTAATTTTTATGATAAAGTTATGATGGTTAAGACAATTATATTTGAGATATCGAATTATCTACCTATAATGGTTTTTAAACTTTTCATTAATTCAGTTAAGTTTAATTATACATATATTATATACATTATATAAATTACTGTATTTAATAATAAATAATTTTTAAGTATTATTTTTATAAAAAATTATAATTTTAATTTGAAAAAATTAGAATTATATAATTTCCTCTTGTTATGGTTTAATTTTTAATTATACTAATCAGTAATTATTTAATTATACTCTAATTAACCTTTTCATATATACAATATAGAGTGAAAAAAAGCGCAAAAATTAAAAATTATCGAGATGGAGAAGCGTCTTCTCCGTTGTTAACCCTTGGCCCAGTTGGCACCGCGATTACGCAAAAACGACCGATTGGTAACGTAGTTGGCGAACGCAGTCTGCGACAAGGCGCAGTCGTGCCGTCGCCATTCTGGTAGACGTCCGCGTCTTTTCGTTTTCGTTGTTTTACTTTCGTCTCCAATATGGTACTACGGATTACCTAATAAATGTGAAATTAGCTATTTCTCCGCGAAAATTCGACTGTGAAGTTATATAACACTTATACTAAATCGTTGAAACAATGTATATATCTTATCCATTGTGCGTTGTTCATCAAGATTAAAAAGGAAAATATTAAGATAACTTATGTTTCAATCTAAAATTTAGGAAAAAAATCGTAAATTAAAATCAAAATAGACAGAATCTCATATATGTATTATAGAAGTTTTAATATATTTTAGTTAGACGCATAACTATAAAGTCTCTTATTGTACATTTTTCCCAATAAACAGTGCCGCAAATGTTTGACGTTGACATATTCTATGTCTTCAATCATATTAAGAAAATAACACAAGTTGATCCAAATATAATATATCAACGTGTAGACAAATATCAATTACATAATTTTTCTAATATCTCCTTAGTAAGCTTTTAAATTCACTGCGACCAATTGATTTTAATAAAAGCAACTATTGCTTCCCAAAGGAGATTTTCGAGAATGATGTTGGCAACATATTTCTGCACGTGATGACATATTTGTGGCATGAATATTCATTTGGCACATGCCGGTGACATATTTTCCACGACAGGTGCCGATTTTTAATTTAACGATATTTCTTCAAGAATTACAGAGTAAATGAAATCACATACAATGACTAAGACAGTGTTTGGGTTTCTATTTTAAAGTTGAATGCCGAAAATAATTGGCAATTACGAAAGAGATGTTATGTTATATTAGCGTCAATTTTGCTACTACGATAGAAAATTTTAAATGCATCAGTAAATATTATACATTAAAATAAGATTAAAACATACCATAAACGTTTTCCGCGTGTCGCGTTTCTTCAACAGGAGATTTCTTACGAGCATAGCCCGCAGTTGGGAAAAGTAGAGCGCGCACGAATTCATCCTGCGAGATGCATTCACCCTCTCGTCCTCTGAAACAGAAATATGAACAAAACTAAACGGCGACGGAATTTCAATGTTTGATGAGTAACAGGAATAGAAGCTCAAATTTTGTTGCATTATTTCAGCAATCCATCTCTATCCAATTCTAATTTAATTTTAAGATACCGAATACATCTAAAAAATATATTACAATATCTGTTAAAAAGATAGATAAAAATAGATAACGATTGGATCTTGCATGAATAATGTTAATCGGACATTTATTTCTCGAAATAAAATTTATTTAAGCTTAATTATTAATTTTGACATATCGAGTTAAACAATTTTAGTGACGTACTACGTTTTATAGAACATAACATTGTATACTAAATATTAGTTGAATATTACATGTTCATGTCACAATTGTATAATTCTCCATTATTATTACGCAACAAAATTTTAAGCTTAAATGTTACTCTTAATAAAGACAGTAATATAATGACAGTAATAATCTCGTTTTCCAGATATAATTTCTATAAATTTCCAATAATTCCATTAATTTCCATTAGAAGCTCGTTGAAAAATTAACGTACATATACGAACAAATTAATATGCATTTATTTTATTTTCTCACTCGAATGAGTAAACTACAAATGCGAATGACAGTTGAAAATAAAAAAACAACTACATACATATAACAAGGTACCCCATATCATCCTTTTTTATCTCGTAAACTAATAGAGATAAATCTAACAGATATAGTACCAAATTAAACCGTTCTCTCACTTGGGAAAATTATCCATATTGAAAAACAAAGAAATATGCATAATTTTTACACTATAGAGTAAATATTTTGGCATAATAAAAGTTGTAGCATCTTAATAAGTATAATCAGATGTGATAACATATTAAATGTCAATTGTCAATGGGAAATTTGGAAGTTAATCACGTCACAGGGCCAAAACTGAAATGGTAATAATCCCTGTAAAAACTTTAAATCAAAACAACTTGTGTAGTTTGTATATTTTGTTATAAAATAATTTTATTATATCATATATCGTTGTGCTCGTCAGAACGGATGCTACTTATACTACCGAAATATGTACTCTATATTGTGTAAAAATTAAACTTCGTTCTTTAACATGGATAATTTTTCTAACATAAGTGATTATTATGCTTATATGAGAATTTAGTTAGAATTATCATTTAATTTGTGATACTATATTTATTAGGTCTATATATTGTTAACAATAGGGATAAAAAGGGGTGGCCATTAGGCACTGTATGTGTATTTTATACCATATACTATATAATAAAATCTGTTGCTTATGACAGAACGTAACTTGCCACTTATTAATGTTTCCATGAAGGAACAGAAAAGTCTTGTCCTGTCTCACTCTAATAACGAGTAACGCGCGGAAAACGGCAAAGAAAAGAAGCTAAACTCGAATGTAGGCGTCCAACTGCAGAACAGTCGCGCTCTTCCCGATTAATTAGCTGAATTTGTTTGCACAACTGCGCGACACGTACGTTTCCCCCTCGCGCCCTCTCTATCCGCTCTGTTCGTTCGTTTGCTCTACAGTAAATTCGCGTGGTAACAATATATAGTTGTGCCAACGGTTCAACATTTACGTTAATTAATCGTTCGCACTGCAATTTGAAAGATCAATCAGATTATGTACAAACTAATCCTTTATAAAATATATCCTTGAATATCCAGTATGATATTTAATACGTACGTCCTCGATGTATGTATATATTGCGAAGGTGTTTTGTGTGGGCATGTAAACGATTTCACATTACTACATATAAAATGTATGTTACTGTTTTTCCAGTTTAAAAAAAACGTCAAAGTTTTTTTTCCTTTATATATTCTTTAAAATTTTTTAAAATATTTTTGAATAAATTTATAATTTTTACAGTATTTGCAAAGGATTTGACACGTGATAAAGTTTAATTTTACTGATAGTAAATATTGTATATACATATGCATTTAAATATAATATTAATATTTACCAATATTTCTTAAACGATTAAATTAATTTTCTTTTTCTGTCAACAGTCGTTTTGTACGGATCCAAGAATTCATACATCACTAAAAATATTTAACGATGTATCAGTACACGGAAATAACCTGCAAACCGCGTAGCTTCTTTAAAATTTATTCGTGGAAGTTTCAAACAAAGTTCATTTCGAAATATACAATCGCACATTGCAAATTGTAATTTTTGTATAGATTATATAAAATTACGTCTTTTTTATATATCAATTAATTCGTTTTACTATTTTATTTAATGATATGCAGAATGTGTCCCAAAGTTCGAGATTTGAAATACAATAGCAAAAAATTCTCTAAAAGTTCAGTAAAAAAGTTTTTTGTGAAAAGAAAATAGCCAGCTGTAAACTATGTTTAGATTTTACCATCTATCTGTCCATAAGTCGCGCGTGTAGTAGTTTAGTGAGAGTTGGTAAGCGTGCACTTCAGCACTAATAGGTAATAGTGACAATTTAAATGTAATTTGTAATTAGCTATATTTAAATCTTTATATCTCAGAACTGTTGCTTAAAAGAAAAATTTGCAAATAACATTTTTAATTAATCTTTCTTGTTTGAACGTGATCGCGAATTTCGAAACACTCTACATATTTAATAATATGCTAAACTATACTCTTGGGAAAAATCATCCTAAAGAACAGAATAATTTTAGGGCAATATTTGCAAATTAAAAAACAACTTCTTAATTAGATATGTAATTTACAGTTGCTTCGTATTATATTGTTATATATAAATGTATAACCATTTTTGCACAAGATAGAGAAATAATGTACTCTTCTTATAGAATCATTAATTGTTTGAAAAAAATCTTCAATTTCTGACGAAAGCGCATCGTTAAAAGAACAAATTTTCTAATCTCTAAAATATCTTCTTAAGAGAAGGGAAAAGAGAGTCCCTTCTCTTTTCGTAAATCGACGCATGTGTTTAATAATAAATAAGTAAAATCTACAAATACATAACACAGTATATCGTTTGTTTTATTCTTGCACTAATTTCAACAACCGCACAAGCTACAGCATTTAAGAGGGGAGATCACTGTGATCGGTTGGAAAAATAGGCAATTTTTAAGCGTGGATTGTAGACGAAATAAAAGAGCTGTAAACTTGTGGTTTGGTATTTTAATTAAGTATATATCAAAGATATTAAATGTATAGAAGAAAAAATTATAATATCACTTATGAGTAGTGTGTGAAAAAAAGCAAATTTTTTTTGCACCGGTTATTGGTGTCGACGATTCCGCCATATTGGATTATTTGAAAAAATTTTTGAATTTTTTATTTGGTTGTTGGTACAAATTTTGTTCATTAATTTATTAACATCTTGCAAAATAACAATAATATCGTAAAAATTGTCAGTCAATGCTTCGAGAAAAATATAAGGAAAACAAAAAATCGAAGTTCACGTTAATCCCATGAGTAAAACGCGAAAAACCTTCGACACCGTTTTGAAAAATACAGTTTCGAGAAAAACGCATTTAAAGTTTTACGTATTTTTTATATTATATAATGCAAATATTTTTGTTCTTACCGCTAATCTGCCATGCCAGCCTCGTAATAGTTATTCTCCTCATCATCGTTTCTGGCTTTGCTCTGCCGTTTTAAGATACGACCTTCTTTTGATGTTTTGAACGTACGTGCTTTAGCATTATACCTTTGTATGTTTTACAATCACCGTCACCGATGTACGATAAATAAGTAAAAAATTAAATATATATACTTGGGACCTTTTGTTTCTTGTTCTATAAGCTTCAAACTATTTAAAAAAAAAAAAATTTTTTTTTCGATTTTTTGTAAATTTTACAGTGGTCTTCCCCCATAAATATTGAATCAATTTAGACCCATTCTTCGCTTGTTTGAAATCTGTTTATTCCAAACGTATTGTTCTCTATTCATATTATTACCTTATGTTCATTCCTACTATAATAATGTACAGATTAACTTTAATCTCGATTTAATTTACTTTTTTTTTAATCTTTAGAACTAGAAAGAGATAAAAAGTGAATTATAAATTAAGATTAAAGTTAATTTACATTGTAGTAATTAAAAAATAGATTTTTCTCGTCTAGATTTATTTCTAGGTTTGTCTCGTTATTACGCTAAACAAATGATACGTCGTCAACTGTAGAACAGTTAAACTAGTTTTAGAGTCCGAATTAAGTAAGATGAAAATAATCAAGGACTCTTAGTATAACAATAATAAATAAATAACAAGGGCGATGTAAGAGTCAAAATATAAATTCATTTAATGCAATGTTAAAAATCCAAGTAATAAAATAAAATAAAATTTAATTATAAAAACTATAAAAATAAAAATATAATTATGAAGAAATACTTAAATTTACTTAAAATTAATATAAATTAACTTAGCGCTACTAGTTTCGGCTCCAGGATTGAGCCCTCCTCAGACGATAAACAATCATGGATAGAGTCCGAATTAACTTTATCGTTCAGCAAAGGTTAAAATTTACTAATTTAAATTTTTTTTTGTAAAACCTATCTAATACAAATTTTTTTCAAATTTATTAAAAAAACAATATAAATGCAAAAATACTCACATTAATCTTGAAGTGCGCCCCGAGTCCGTCCAAGAGAATAATTCTAGTCTGCCGTACCCTCTATTTGACTGTGATTGCTGCCGGTGATGATGCCATTGCTGTTCCCGGTACTGTCGTCGTTGCTACGTTGCTGGACGTTGCCTCCGTTAACAACGCCAATCGATTCATGCTGCTGGAACGTTGCCTTACCACGTGACATGACGGCGACATCGCAACGACGGACAGTGTACTTGGAATCGTGTTCACAACCGTTGTTGTTGCTCCTCGCCATGCTTAGCGCCGCAAACTATATCGAGAAGGAATTAGACAAAAATTATTACTCTTTCAACCCTATATTTTATTCAGGTTTGCTTAACACATTTTCATTTCTTTACAAGATAAAAATATATATAATTTTATTATATATAT